GACAGGCCCCTCTAGTGGCGTGCCCACCTGTGACATCAGAGAACCGCATTCTAGACCGGTTCAGATACCGCGTGCCCGCGACTATTTCTCCGCGACCGTCATATCCGTTGCTGCGAGGATTTTTAAACCGCATTTCGCGCCGCTCCTGCTTCGTTGCCAGACTGTGCTGAAAATACAGCATGTTCCTCCACTTAACTCAGTGTTAAAAATCCGAATCTTTTCACACGATCCGGCAACTTTGGATCCTGTGACGTCCAGCCATAGGGTACATAGAGTCGTAATGTAAATGGAAGGGCTGGTGTCATTTTCCGGTCGAATAGTTCCGAGCCCGGTGTGCGCCGAGCTTTGGTCACTTTTTCGATACGTTTTCGATCCAAAATGGCATTTAGAATAATTGGCAATTCCTTGTTTGCAGATATGCGGTATTGTTCTTCAGCCATCGATATGCAATGCTCTGCCGTGCTAAGGAAAAACGTCGTATGAATATTCGAGAGTTGCCAAATTTCCCCGAAGAAAAATGTGCTTTTGAAAAGAGTCATGCACATTTTTCCTTGACATTTTCAGATATTTTAGATTACATTGCGCTCAAAATTGTCTGAAAATTTTGGGGGAAAATATTCACAAATTTTTCAGTAAATTCGGTTTTTATCGGAGGAAGCTTGGCAACGTCTGAAGGCTCATACGGCGTTTTGCCTTAGCACGGCAGTGCTGATGTCAGCACGAATAGTTGCACCCTGGTAAAAATTGCGGCGATAGGAGCTGCAAATCAAAAATCCATAGGAGTTCTTATAGCCGACTAAAGAAGGCTATTAAAAATAATCTAGCTGGCTGTAGAAAGCGGAGCAAATCATATAGCCGGGCTATACGAATCTATAAAAAATTATCCAGTCGGGCTACAGTTCCTATCGCCGGGCTTTACACTTCATCGCTATTGGCTATACAAGATTATAAGAAATTGTGTAGAAATTCGTGTGCTTTGGAAATTATTAAGTTTGATACGGAACTACCTTTATATTTACAAAACACACATTATATTTTCCTTTAAAACAAAATTTTTTTTCATCAATTAAAATGAGAATAGTCCATACAGAGTGTGCAAACATTTTAAAATCATGAGTTGAAAAACGCTGACTCCGCGAGATTAAATATTAGAGCCTAACACAAAGCAGAGCGGCGACGCACTGGCGCCTACAAACCTAACAGGGATACTTCACGCATTGCGCAATGCGTGAAGTATCCTTGTTAGGTTTGTAGGCGCCAATGCGCGTTGTCTCTGTCCGCCCGCCGCGCCGCAGCGTGCCACGGCGTCTGAAGCAACTATTTCACCCTAGAGGTATTGCACAGTATCATAAGAAATTGAAGTCGCTCCAATATTAAGAATAACAGGCATTCTTCAAAAGTACGGAGCTTTCCTCGCAAAATAAATCAAGATACTACGGCACATAAAGAGAGCGGTAGTCCAAAAACTAACTAAGTCCTAGTATCCGTATTTAGTGACGTTTAGCATAAACTTTATCGTCTGGCTGTTGCTCAATCGCCATCGGCTATAAAAGGCTATAAGAAATTGTACAGCCGGCTACAGAAGCTATTGGAAATCTTACAGCCGCCTTGAGGTCTATGGTATTTTGGAACACACATTCTACTGCCAATTTTTACCAGGGCATCCAGGCGTTGCGAACCTAGTCACAGTTTCGCATCTTTTGTAAGCGTTTCTATCGACGAAAATTTGAAATCAATAAAATTGAAACATACATCTGCGTTTATTTAAAATGTTGCAGGAGACATATTGCTCGACTTTGGCCGGTCACCCAAATGGAACTGTCCGATACCGGACTCAGATGTCGACATGAGCGGTGAGAAAATGAGCGAGTCCAGCCACACTACTGCACCCTCTCGGATTCAACAGGAAACGACCAAATATTCTGAAACGGTAAGAGCTAAACCGACCCACGTTTTACATTTCCTCAAAATCTCCCTTATAAAGACGTGTGTGATCACCAAAAAAGGGAAGGGCACGGAGTATCAAAAAAACTGAAAATGGATCACCAGGCAAGGTGAAAATGTCAGCATAATAATGTATGTTCTCTTGTCAAAATTTCATGTGATACACAAATAGCACAAAGTAAATTACTAAATGTAACTCCTAACATATAATAACGCCAAGATTTAATAAACGTTTCTCCGGTCATACACTAGAAAAAAAAAAAAAAAAAAAAAAAAAAAAAAAAAAAAAAAAAAAAAAAAAAAAANTAAATCAAAAGGAAATCCGCTCAAATTAAGAGGCTTGGTTCTTGATTTAAGCTTAAATCTGATTGAATCAAGAGTATTTTTTCTTGTCGATGTTTTTAAGAGTCTGGACTCTAGATCCAATGTGTTTTTTTCCAGTGAAATACGTCCAATTGATATTGCTGTACCTTTGTTTTTGCGTGATAGGTGGGTGAATTCAAATAAGGGTCAAATTCCAGGTTCAATTTCCTCCCAAAATTTTTTTGTGAATTTTTGGGCAAACCAAACTTTATTTTGACTCTCATTAGGTGTAGACTTAGGAAATATAGCTCGTCGAGCTTAATAGTTATGCTTAAACCCGAATTTCCACCGTCACGTGTATCACTTCCCAAAATTTGCTCTAATTTTGCCTGATTTCCCAAATTTTCATCTCAGAGGTGACATATAATACTTTTAATTGAAAATTGAGCGCAATTGTCATAAAAGCATCGTCGAGCACTAAATTAAAGCATAATTGAAAACATGTAACCCTTTCATATCTTACAGAACCAAAAAAATTCATCCGTCATGAAAGATATCTGGAGCTTATTCTGCCTATATTTTAGACAGTTCCGTCTGTTTATCAAAATGCCTACTGTTTTCCTTTAACACGAGAAGAAGCTTTTATTTCTTGGAATATTGCAGTACAAAATTGATCAAAAACATCGAATTTTAAAACTTCAAGTGGGCGTGTACCCGCTGAAGTGAAGTGGAGGTAAAGCCAGGAAAAGTTTGAGGAATTGCGTTAACATATCAATTACACTGGTCAACGTTTTTTTTTTTTTTTTTTTTTTTTTTTTNTTTTTTTTTTTTTTTTTTTTTTTTTTTTTTTTTTTTTTTTTTTTTTTTTTTTTTTTAATTTTCCGAAGATTTGCCAACGGTTTTGAAATAGATTTTTGGCGCTGATTCCGAAGATCACCTTTATTTACCTGTACCAGTGCGACTTATCCCGGGAAGTTCGGAATTTTTCCGGAGAAATCGGAATTTTCCTTAAAAATCTAGCTTTTCCATCAGAGTCAAGCTTCGGGAGAATCTAAGCACGATGGAAAAAACCTAGGAATTTTTCGATTTTGTAGACTAAGATACATAAGAAACCATGCATTGCACCCCTATTAAAATTTCCTTGCTTTTCCTAATGCCAAGGTTTTCCGGTCCAGTTTCAACGTCCGCCATCTTGGATTTTCGAATTTTAAAAATTCGAGTTTCCCATTCAAAAATACCCCCCAGTACCAAGTTTCGCGTAAATCGATTGATTAGGCGCTGAGATAGCATTTTAGGTCATGTCCGCCATCTTGGATTTTCGAATTTCGAAAATTCGACTAAAAATTCAAGTGTCCCATTGAAAAATACCTTCGGGTACCAAGTTTCACTTTAATCGACTGATTAGGTGCTGAGATAGCATTTTAGGCAACGCCCGCCATCTTGGATTTTCGAATTTTGAAAATTCGACTAAAAATTCGAGTTTCCCATTCAAAAATACCCCCAGGTACTAAGTTTCGCGTAAATCTATTGATTAGACGCTGAGATAGCATTTTAGGTCATGTCCGCCATCTTGGATTTTCGAATTTCGAAAATTCGACTAAAAATTCAAGTTTCCCAGTGAAAAATACCGCCGTGTACCAAGTTTCACTTAAATCGGTCGAAAAGAGCGCCTACAGGGCTTAAACAAACAAGCCTCATTTGATTAGGCGCTGCGATAGCATTTTAGGCAATGTCCGCCATCTTGGATTTTCGAATTTTCAAAATTTGACTAAAAATTCGAGTTCCCCATTGAAAAATACCCCCTTGTATCAAGTTTCACTTAAATCGGTAGGAAAGAGCGCCTACAGGGCTTAAATAAGCAAGTCTCAGTTGTAACAGTTTTCCACTCTGTCCCACTGAACTGGGACATGGGACAGGATGGAAACATATGGGACAGGATGGAACGGGACAAGATGGAACGGGACAGGATGGAATAAGCTGTTTTTTAAGCTTATCTCTAACAGTAAAGACAATTTTGGTGTTTTTTTTTCACGGAATATTTAGTAGCACGTCCTAGAGGATCGGAATAAGAGAAAATTTTCCCTAACGCACACTTCGAAAGTATTTTACGAGCTGATATTAGTGTGTGTGTGTATGCTTGACGCCCTGATAGTTATCGTGTATAGCAATCTGTTTGGCATCATTAATGGCGTTAATTTTGCACAAAAATTTGCGAATTTCAGAATTTTTGCCATCTACGACGAGTGAACTATTCAATCAAAACAAAAAAGTCGTTTTTGGAAAAACCTCAACGTTACGGCAATCATTTAGAGCTTATTACATCGTTGCCATGTCTCTCCTGACTGTTGCTCGGGACAATGATTCTAGCGCATGAAAAAGTTATTGATGGAGCAAAAAATAAATTGACATATTTTTTTTCTCAAATTCAAAAGCATTACCTATCATCTCCGATAAAGTTTTCTTAAATAATCACTCTAGTTATGCTGCAACATCGATTTAAAGTCAAGAACCAGGCACGGGGGACACGCAAATTTGGGACAAATGTAGGCAATTTGCACATTCAAAGTTCTCCTAAATTTTTATTTCAGTCCAAATAAAGTGGAAAATAGCATGTAATAGTCAACAATAGTGTGGAAAATGAGAAAAAAATTTGATCTGCCCATGTTTCTCAGATTATGACGATTAAAACAGCTGGGGACACCAGATTAGACGCTTATTTGAACTCACCCAGGTATGTCTTTTTCAGTTTTTGCAGAATGAATATATGCAGCATGCGTCACGCCTCGACACCGTGTACATCAATGGATTACTTTTGCGTAAATGATTTCATGTCTAATTCACCAAATGACTAACCTTGTATATTTTTATGATTGATGATTGATATGTTCAGGTCCCAACTGAGCCGCTTAGGTCTCAAGGCACGACGGCGAAACCCCAAGCTACTCCTGCTCCGGCACCCAAGGGTGAAGTTTGGGACATTCCCCCCATTGAATGCAACGAACCGGAGGACGGCGTCTTTTACGCACAGTTGGGTCCGACTGGTGGTAAACGAGGATATCCTGCTATTACAGGTAAATTCTGACGACAATGCATTATTGATAAAGACGAAGATCTTATTCTAATCACCAGTCAGAGGCGGGCTGACCCATCGGGAAATTGGGAAGCTCCCGGCTCAAACAATTGAATCAGTGAGAGCGAAAACACACCAACTCGCAAAAATGAAAATAATCTAGACACACACAAAAGTGCACAGCACGTGAAGAAGTTAGTTAGTTTGAAAACGCCTTCAAATGCGGCGTGATACCTCACGCATTCCGGAGAGTTCAAATAGTTGTATCATTGCGCCTTAGAAATGCGACGGAAGATTGCAATTGAAATAGCCTGCATGCACGCTGGCCTTTTCGATTTCCGTTATTATTTTTGCAGTCATGAATGCGCTTAAGTGCGCTTCAGCTAGAATTGTATTTAATAAATGGGTGGTTTTTATAGGAGAATTATAATTAAACAAGTGGTTAGGAATGGAAACAAAATAATATGAACTATGCAAAACGATTATTCCGATAATGGAACTTGGCTGTTTTGAAAACGCCTTCAAATGCCGCGTGATACCTCACGCATTCCGGAGAGTTCAAATAGTTGTATCATTGCGCCGTATGAATGTGACGGAAGATTTAAATGGAAACAGCCTTCATGCAGGCTCGCCACATCCCATCTCGGCCCTGGTACCAGTTTTAAGGTCCGGGCCCCAAGCACGGAGGGGGGAGGGGGGTCCAAGGGGCATCTCCCGAGAAATTTTAGAATGTATACGACTAATCGGACGCATTTTGAAGCTTCCATAAAGAATTTTTCCATCAATTTCTGCGGAATAATTATTTTTGTTTTTTTTTGTTTTTTATATACTTTCAGCACAAAATACTTGCGAATTGTTGCATTCAAAACATCTGGAATTTTTTTTTTTTTTTTTTTTTTTNATTTTTTTTTTTTTTTTTTTTTTTTGGGGGGGGGCATATGATATTATTTTCAGTTCTATGAGGGCCAGGCCCCCCGGACTCCCCCTTCGTTTGTCTATGGCAAGGGAGTTGAGCCATGAGCCATTGAGGTCGAGGATGCCCAGACTGGAGACTCTTAGCATCTGACGACGGAAAAAAATGAAACGCAGTTACTAAAATTATCCCTCTGTACTGAAAATCTTGAAAATAGATAGAAATTTTCCAAGAAGTATACTTCTTTGAAAATTTAAGAAGAATTCTACAGTGCCCCAGCGTGTTTCTGAAAATCTATTCACCTTTTGCGAAAATTTTTGGGTAATTTTTTCACTTGTTCTTACGAAANCCCCCCCCCCCCCCCGATACCAGGGACCCAGTATCCCCCCCTTGTGGCGGGCCTGGTCTCATTAGAGCTTCATGAGTAGTCTCAAGGAAAGAATGGAGTTCGTCGGTTTTCGGATGAAAGGCCTTACCTATATCTCAACGTTATAATATTTCCCTCCGCAGGTTGTACTGTATCTAGAACGCTGCTGAAAATTTTACTAATTTCCTTCCTAAAAATTTTCCGAAAACCAGCAATATTTAGGACAGGAATTTCACAGTCATTTTCTTGTAAAAAATCTGAGGTGTTGTAGTCAGTTTTTCAGCCATGGAATTGAGTTAGTTGTAAGCGAAGTGAATATCTATGTCTCGCAGTGACCATGAACTTACGATGTTTCAATGTTGGTCAGGTCACGTTGGATGGGGCATCTCCTGGTACATTAACGGACTTCTCATCCCTGTAGTCAACGTCGTGCGAGGCAAGACTTACACGTTTGTGGTCGAGGGTGGCTTGGACGCCAACACACCCGCCAAATATCATCCTTTCTACATCACGGACGATCCTGTCGGTGGCTACCACTACAAAACTCCGGAAGAAAGAGCGGTAAGACGCAATTTCAAGCGGAACCATTTTAGGTCAACATTCGAAAAAAGACAACGAATTTCTAAGTTCGAAATGTATATCTGTGAAGGTTGATATGTAAGGGGTCAGTTGCGCGTGTCTCTGAAGTTATGTCAAGAGCTGAAATGGACAGCGTCAAGCAAAAAGGAACCAAGCCACATCAGCTACTGCCAAATTAATTCGGGCAATTTAATTTTTTACACGAAAATGGTTGTGCAGATTTATGCGCAAATTTCAATGAATTTTCCACATGGTACAAAGCAAACTGAAAATTTGCAAAGAAATCTGCACAAACGATCTCTTGTGAAAAATTAAATTGTTCGGTTAACTTTGGCAATAGCTTATGTGGCTTGGCTCCTTTCTGTTGAACGCGGTCCAAATGCAACTGCGGACAGTTTCGAAGAACATTCTGGGTCCCGAACAGTGGCGCGGCGTGAATTGCGATGTATCGCTTGTTATGCCATTTGAACCTATGGTAAAGAATCGATTATTAAGGTGTTCGATGCGAACACCCTATTTATCGATCCTTTTCCATAGGTTTAAATGGCATAACATTCGATATATCGCTATTCACGCCCTCGTCACATCCACTGGTCCCGAAGACGGAACCATTTTAAGTCAACATTCGAAAAAAGACAAAAAATTTCTAAGTTTAGATATGTATATCTGTGTAAATTGTTATGTATTGGGTCAGTGGTGCTGGTCACAGAATCATTGTTTGATTCTTGGTTCTTGTAGATTGGCTAAAAAGAATAAGATCTGTCGAAACTAACTTTTTCTACGTTCAATATCAACAGAGAAAGCGCCCCTTGAAAAGTTGGGGTTTTGACATCATCCAACGCGGTAGTGACACCCTTGGTTTCTTCCACCAGTCAGAAAAACTCACAATTGCACTGGTAACTTAACGTTAACTATGAAAGCAAAGTGGAAGAAACCAAGGGTGTCGCCACTGAAGGATGACGTTATTAAACGAATTTTTCAAAGCACGATATCTCGGTTAATACTGAACGTAGAAAGTTGCAGTTTGGACGGATCTTATTCTGTTTAGCTAATCTACAAGAATCAAGCACCAAAACACGATACTATGCCCAGCGTAACTCGCCCATTACATAGATTTATGATATAACGTATCGAAGAATTCAGTAACTAACATGATAGAGACTAATATTAATGATTTTCCCGGAGACTTTAACGCAGGAGTAGAAAAGTAAACAATACAAAATTACACAGATTTATGGATATATCTGAATAGAATTAAGTAATTGCCCTGTCAGAGAGTAATATTTATGCTTTCCCGGTGAATTTAACGCAGAGTAGATAAGTGAACATTCTCTACAAATGTGCTTTCTTATCATTATTCCAACAGAAAGTGAAGATTTTTGCCGGAGTCGCCAAGAACCAAAACGGAGAGATCGATCCGACCGGCGTCGGGCGCTCCTGCAACTGGACACCTGATCAAAATGGACCTACTGCTGACGAGTTCGTTTCTTTCGGAGCATACCAGAGGACTCTATCTCTGGTCTGCGACCACGGAGAACCTGGCATAGTCCAATGGACCCCAGATGAGAACACACCGGACACTGTTTACTATCAGGTATGTTTCCATTTTTCTTTCCTCTTCTTCTCCTCCCTCTTCCCCTTCTTCCCGTTCTTCTCCTCCTTCTCCCTCTTCTTCTCCTACTTCCCGTTCTTCTCCTCCTTCTCCCTCTTCTTTTCCTACTTCTTCCTCTCTCCATTCCTCTTCTTCCACTCATTTTTCATCTTTTACTTCTCTTCTCTCTTTACTTTTTTCCTCCTCCCAGTTCTTCTCCTTTATCTTATTCCCTAAAGCGTAATTTTAGCGTAAATAAGTCCACTTACACGAATGGAATAGGAGAGAAAACAGAGAAAACATCCAATAAAGTACTGCATTGCGGCAGGTTCGGATTAAATTCATCAACTGGACTTCATTTTGCAATTAGGAACTACGATTTTTGGCTCATCAGTAAAATCACTCATGTGCGTAGGGAAACTAAGGGTGCATAATCTGAGCCAGAAATTGTAGTTCCCAAGTGCAAAATGTAGTCCGCTTTATCTTAAAATTTCATTAATGTCACAGAAAATTGGACGACATTTTGCAATTCGGAACCATAATTTCTGGCTTATCTGTGAAAGCACGTATGTGCGTAAGGAGACTGATCGTACATACGTTGTTTCTAAACTGAGCCAGAAATTATAGTTCCTAATTGCAAAAAATGCAGTCCAATTAGCAATCGCCAGCAATTCGAAAGCGGTTATGTTGTTTCCATTACTGGAAAAAAAACACATTGGATCTAGAGTCCAGACTCTTGAAAACATTGACAAGAAAAAGGACTCTTGATTCAATCAGATTTAGGCTTAAATCAAAAAGAAATCCGCTCAAATTAAGAGGCTTGGTTCTTGATTTAAACTTAAATCTGATTGAATCAAGAGTATTTTTTCTTGTCGATGTTTTTAAAAGTCTGGACTCTAGATCCAATGTGTTTTTTTTCCAGTGCTTGAAATAATATATTCAACTGAATTCTAACAGCTCGCACTTTTGCTTTTTGCAGTGCTACACACATCGGTACTTAGGATGGAAGATCAACGTCCTGGACGAGTGCGACAAGGAATCGCCAGCCGCCGCTGCCAGCGAGCAGGTGACGTCGAAGGTGGCGTTCGACGGGGAAGAAAACATGAAAGCAGGCAACGACCTCCACGCCGACGAGGAGGAAGGCGACCCGATCGAGTCACACGCCAGTTACCAAGTCTCCGTCAAGGTGAAACCGGACCAAGTCGGCGGGACTAGCGACAACGAGTTCGTTGACAAGACCTCCTCGAAGGAGTTCGAGGAGAACCTCTCGCTCGTGCCCACGCACGCCAAGGACAACCTCGTCAAGGACGAGAAGAACGAGATCGTGCCGCCTCCGCAGTCCAGCTACTCCGCCACCGGGTTCCAGTACTTCGACAATGGCAACAACTACGGCCAAGCCTCTACCATCTACGGCAAACAAACCGCCGAGTCCGTCAACAGCCCGCAGAACTACGAGAACACCCAAAACGATTACACTTCGGCCCCAGCATCTTCCACCTCGACGACTGCGAGCGGCTACAACGGCGACTACCAGGGCAACAACACGAATAATCAGTGGAACGTCTACAACGGTGACATCGACTACGGAAGCGACAGTCAATCCAACGGTGACAGCTTCAAGGTTAACGTAGGCAGCAGCCAAGGGGTCGACTACACGAGTAATAATTGGAACGTCCATTACGGATTTGGCTCCGGTTACGGAGGTAGCACCGACAGTCAAAATAACAGCAACAATTACAACAGCGGCAATTATAACAATGGCAACGTGAATTACAACAGCAACTCCAACGCGAATAACAATTACAACGGCAATTCCAACACGAATAACAATTACAACGGCAATTCCAACGCGAATAACAACTTCAACAATAATTACGACGGGAACACGGCCACCAGCAGTTCTACGCAGAATAATTACGAGAGCAAACCGGTTGAAAGCACTCAGAGTACAAACACGAACGTTGACAGCGCCAACGCTTACAAGAACTCGCAGAATAATTACGCGCCGTCCAGCAACGATAACGTGTCAAGCGCAAGTGGTAGCGGAAGCTACACGACGATTAAAGAACAACCGAAACGACCCGAGTACATCCGACCCGACAGTCAGAGTGAAGAATCGATAGATGTACCAAATTATTACAACAAGAACAACAATAATGTTCACTACGCAAATCCACAATCCCAAAGCTCGGGTAATCAGGTACATTCCAGTCCGAGCAGTAGTCCGGCGAAGCCACAGAGTCAAGGGCCACACGCACCCTCGAATGCCTACGCTCATGTGACGTTCACCACGGACCATAAACTGGAGGATCATAAGAAAGGACAGGAGTACAACGGCGGTAATATCAGAGGCGGTGCGTACATTCCGAACGGACCGCGGCCCAACATACCTTTCAAAGGAGCATACGTGTTGAACCCGAACCAAAGACCGAACAGACCGCCTTCATACCCGCCATCGATGGGCAGGCCCCAGTACCAAAAGAGACCGAGTTACATCAACGGACAGAACCAACAACGGTTATCCAACAGGCCACCGATGGGTGCGATCGCGGCCGCTCAGAATCACCCCCGCCCGGTCATCGTCAAGAAACCTATCTACCGAGTCCCGCAACAACAGAGACCGACCAACTACGGCCAACCTGGAACAAGACCACCGCATGTCAAGAGCCAGCCTCCGAAGATAATACCAGTCTCGTTCCCGGCCGTTAAGTACAACCCGCGAACAACGCCCAATGTCCAAGCTGTCACGGAGAAGATCAAAAACATCCCCCTCGGGAAACCGACCAACGCGGTTCCGCCAGTCGCGAAACCGATCATCCCTTCGATCAACCCGCAGCACTTCCAGAAAGAACCCCACGGAAATACGAAATTAAACTTGGCCGTGAACACGGGTTTCAATCCTGGATCTGTAGTGATAGAGAGCGGGTTCAGGCCCATCGTCCAAAATCAAGACCAACAAGTGCCGGAGAAAGACAGGGCTCAAGAGCGAATGGCCGAGGGTCTGGGGGACTTCATTGATGATAACGAAAGCGACCAAGGTAACAAGTACTTGAAGGAAGATGGAAACATAGGAACCATTCAACTGCCCGAGGAGTCTAGACCCGGCCCGAATAAATCGACTGATAATCAGACGAAGGCCTCCGAAGAAGAGAAAAAGAACCCGTTCGAAGGTCAGAACCCTGTTTCGTTCGAACCGATGTTCATACCCTCGCCGTTGGATAGTATCACGCAACAGAAGTACAGCTACAAGAAACCGACGGAAATGGTCGCTTTCCAGAAGAAGCCTTACTTGAGGAAACCGATCCGGCAAAGCATGGTTGTCGTCCGACCTCAGCCGATGATGAAGAGAGTGCCCGTGATTAAAGTTCCCATCTTCTACGAAAAAGACGTCGCCCCTCCTGTTCAGCCTTTACCCCACGTCCACGTGCACGAAGAACCAGAGGATGAGATGGAGCCCGAAGAGGAGGAGGATGAAGACGAAGATGAGGAGATGGTCGAACCCGCTGAGAGGTTGGACACGTATTATCTTCCTCCCTCGGGGCCGATTTACGGAGTGCCTAAAAACGGACAGGTTATCGTTCCCGGGGCCTCCAACGGCTTAATCACGACTATCGTTAGCTACGACGGCAAGCCTGTCCGAAATGTACAGGTCGCGCCGGCGCCTGCGAAGAGGATGCCAGGCAACCTGATGCTCAAGGTCCCAATCCTGGGAGCTTCCGACAACCAAATGACTTTACCAAAAATCTACGCCGTTCAGTTAGGCAACCAGGCTCCACAAATACTACCTCAACCTGTCGAGCCCCAGGCTTTGGCGCTGGCGGCCGAGAGTGCTAACCAGTACGAAGTCGAGGAAAACTCGAAAGAGGACACGAGGAAATCCTCAGACGCCTCGACGGAGACGAGTAAACCTACGACTGACGCCAAAACAAGAGCTGATAGGAAAGAGGAAGCGTCGGAACCGGTGACCGAGGTCAAAACGAACTCCGAGGGGGTTCAATTCCTGAACGTTGGTACGAGCGTTGGTATGAAAGTCTCCGATGAGATGCAGGGACGCAGTCATGACGTCAAACCTGTCTCGGAAGCGTCCGTGCCTGAGGATTCGCGGAGCACGACGCGGAGTGGTAGGAGCCTCGACACCGAAAATTCTAGTCCTAAATCTGAAGAATCCGGCACCGAGCCCTCAAGATCCGCTCAAAAGCGGAGTAGGAGATCGCCGCACCACCATCCGGACCATCATGGAGATGGCCATGATCACGAGGCCCACGAGGCTGCATCCAACCCACCGACGAGCGACGCCTCTAGACTCGCGAATTCCTTCTTGTTCATCTCCCTGCCTTTATTTATTGTAATTTATAAATTTTAGTTTGATTAGTGGATTTTTATAAAAAAAATTGTGATAAGAATACAAAAAAAATTTAAAATGGGAAGTTTGAAGTTTGATTTCTTCCACGTTCGATATGCCGCACAGTCAGGGTGTCTACTAGAACAGGCTGGTCAAAAATCAGTACTTTTACAGAAATTTGTCAGTACATTCCCAACAGATTCAGTACCTTCTCAACAGAGAAATTCGGTACTTTTCCAGTACCTTCATTTGACGAAATTCGGAAAATTTCAAAATTTTGAATTTCTCGCTCAAAGCGACAAAAATAAAAAAAATTCCGGACCCTCTTGCGGAAATTCCGCACTATTTCAGTACTTTCGGACCGCCCTTTAAAAAATCAGTACTTTTTCCGGACTTTCCAGAAATTCCGGACTTGTAGACACCCTGCACAGTAGATCGAGACAATTAGAGAGGTCGGACATTAATTTTTTTACAAAACTGCAAATTTTGATGTTTATTTCGCCGCATGATAAATTTTAAGGGGTGCTCCTAGAAGTTAATTTTACGAGAAAACCAATGCAACTACTTTAAGAACCTCGAAGCTTTGTGTGAACGGAGATATGAGCTTTTAAAGTTTCCTAATTTCGTCCGACCTCCCCCGCATTGACTCAATCCACTGTGCTTCGTGCTAAATAAAAACGCCTATGAACATTCTAGAGCTGCCAAATTCCCCCCCCCCCAAAAATTTATATTTTTAAGAAAAGTTATGAATATTATCGCTTGGAATTTCAAACTATGATTCAAATCCAACCGCGGTTAAAATTCTCGATTAATAATTTGGGGAGAAGTAATCACGGAATTCCTAATAATCGTATTTATTAAAAAAATGTGGCAACGTCTGAAGGCACTTATGGTGTTTCTCCTCAGCACGGTACAGTATGGACCTCATCCGAGTTTTCCCGATTCCAACGAACTTGTTGACAAATTGCTGACTGATGTTTTAAAAATGCACAGGGAAAAACAAGTTAAAATCAGAGACTTACTTAAAAATTTGGGGGAAATTATTTCAACTACACCTCTCAGAGCCAGGGCCGGATTAAGGCGGTGACAACATGGGCCGCCGCCCGTGGCGGAAAATTTAGGGGGCGGCAAATTTTGCAATTTTTTTAAATGTACGTATAAAAAAAATCGGATCCAGAAAAAAAATTATCAATGAGAAAAGGGGACAAAATCTCTCTTTTCTGAGAGAAAAATAATTTCTAATTTTATCGTTTTTCTGTGATAAAAGAGACAGCATCTTTAATTAGTCGATTTAAGAGAGGAACGAAACACGCAATTTTGCTTGGAGCTCAGCGCAGAGAGGAATGATGACGAGGACTTGAGATGAAAAGGAAAAGCCCTCGGCACGGCGGTCGACATGGAACACATATTAGCGCCTACAAGACTGCATGAATACTTCCTCCATTGCGTCAAAGACAGTGCGGTCAGGAGCGGTTGGCGTGAATTGCGTAGCGCCTGCAAGACTGCAGGAATACTTCACGCATTGCGCCAAACACAGTGCGATCAGGCCGGCGCAGCGGCGGAAGTTAAAATTATGAAACCACATTTATGTTTGTTTTTTTAATTTTTCGGTTCATTTCTTATAAACGGAGGACCTTGTTCACACAGAGATATGTTTACGGAACTTAACTTTCTTGCAAAGTTCCGTGAAATTTTGCAAGTAGTGTTGACAGGGCTTTCGCAAAAAATGTATTCAACACGAGTAGGTAAGCGCATCGTATGCACCCCTCCCCTTCCGGCACGTTCACTTGATGGTTTTTATTGGTGTTTCAAAAGGAGTGAGAAGGGGGCGACAAATACAGGCGGCCCATGGGCGGCAAGTATCTAGGTAAATCCGGCCCTGCTCAGAGCAGCCTGATCGTTGAAATTTTATGTTCGTCAGGTTGCGTCATAGATGAAAGGCGGAGCGTGATTGGTCGGCTATATCTTATCGCTCCTTTATCGTGTCTTTGTCAGATGGAATGGACGACATACTGTCGGAAACTTAAGAGGTGCCGTTAGCTTGTCGTGAGTTCATATCAACCCAACATAGGCACGACAAAGCAGCGATAAGACATAGCCGACCAATCACGCTCCGCCTTTTAACATATGTCATCTATGTCGGTCTGACAAACACAAAATTTCAACAATCAGGCTGCAGGTCTGACACTAAAGTCTGTGAAATACTCTCTCTACAGAGGTGTGTTCAGCATAGTATACAGACTCAGTGTTAAGTCTCACACATACCCATGTATTACAGATTGCAATACCCTGGTAAAAATTGGCAGTAGAATCTGTGTTCCAAAATACCATAGACCTACGGCCGGCTGTAAGATTTCCAATAGCTTCTATAGCCGGCTACACAATTTCTTATAGCCTTTTATAGCCGATGGCGATTAAGCAACTCACAGCCAGGCGATAAAGTGTATGCTAAACGTCACTAATTACGGATGCTAGGACTTAGTGAGTTTTTGGACCACTGCTCTCTTTTCGGGCCGTAGTATCTTGATTTATTTTGCGAGGAAAGCTCCGTACTTTTGATGGATGCCTACTATTCCTATTATATTAGAGCGCCTTCAGTTTCGTATGATACTGTGCAATACCTCTGGTGTGAAATAGTTGCTTCAAGCGCCGTGGCACGCTGCGGTGCGGCAGGCGGGCAGCCAGCGCGAAACGCGCATTGCCGCCTACAAACCTAACAGGGGTACTTCTCGCGTTGCGCAATGCGTGAAGTATCCCTGTTAGGTTTGTAGGCGCCAGTGCGTCGCCGCTCCGCTTTGTGTTAGGCTCTAATATTTAATCTCGTGAAGTCAGCGTTATTCAACTCATGATTTTGAAATGTTTGCACATCCTGTAGGTATGGATTAATATTCTCGTTTTAATTGATGAAAATAAAATACAGGGTGTTTCAGACCACCCGTACCAGGCCTTTTTCTCGGTTGGTTTAGGTCGTACGAAGTCGGAGACCGCGGGGTTGAATAGGGAATTGACCCCAAGGAATCCGAATTTCGTGGTCCCGAAACCCCTCCAAGTCCCCTTGGGGGGTAAAGGGGGGGTCACGATGCTAAAAGTCACGGTTCCCGACCGAATTGCGGATAGATCGCATCAGAATTGAAAAGCACAGAAAATTTCACGTGAAATTGACCCCTAAAAATCCAAAATCGGACCATCCAAGGCCCAAAAATGACCCCCTAAAGAGGGGCACAGTACCCCCCTCCATAATTTCTCTTTGGTCTCAAAATTGACGTAAATTCTCCAGAAAAAGACGGTTTCCCAGGTAATCGACCCCGAGAAATCCAAATTTCATGGTCCCGAAGCTCCTCTAGCCCCCCTTGGGGGGTAAACGGGGGGGGGCCCAATTTTAAAAATCGGGGCTCCTTTCCGAATCGCAAATTGATTGCATCCAAATTGAGGAGCAGAACACATTTACATCTTAAGTGACTCCTAAGAGTTCTAATAGACCCCCTGAACGGCAGAAAGTAACTCTCTGAGGAGGGGTGCCTCGATCGCCCCCGCCAAAAATTTCTCAGGATTCCTCTTTGGTCGCAAAATTGACGTCGATTCTCCAGAAAAAGACGGTTTCCAATATAATCGACCCCGAGGACTCTAAATTTCATGTTCCCTGAGCTCCTCGGGGTCGATTACATAGGAAACCGTCTTTTTCTGGAGAATCGACGTCAATTTTGCGACCAAAGAGGAATCCTGAGAAATTTTTGGCGGGGGCGATCGAGGCACCCCTCCTCAGAGAGTTACTTTCTGCCGTTCAGGGGGTCTATTAGAACTCTTAGGAGTCACTTAAGATGTAAATGTGTTCTGCTCCTCAATTTGGATGCAATCAATTTGCGATTCGGAAAGGAGCCCCGATTTTTAAAATTGGGCCCCCCCCCCGTTTACCCCCCAAGGGGGGCTAGAGGAGCTTCGGGACCATGAAATTTGGATTTCTCGGGGTCGATTACCTGGGAAACCGTCTTTTTCTGGAGAATTTACGTCAATTTTGAGACCAAAGAGAAATTATGGAGGGGGGTACTGTGCCCCTCTTTAGGGGGTCATTTTTGGGCCTTGGATGGTCCGATTTTGGATTTTTAGGGGTCAATTTCACGTGAAATTTTCTGTGCTTTTCAATTCTGATGCGATCTATCCGCAATTCGGTCGGGAACCGTGACTTTTAGCATCGTGACCCCCCCTTTACCCCCCAAGGGGACTTGGAGGGGTTTCGGGACCACGAAATTCGGATTCCTTGGGGTCAATTCCCTATTCAACCCCGCGGTCTCCGACTTCGTACGACCTAAACCAACCGAGAAAAAGGTCTGGTACGGGTGGTCTGAAACACCCTGTATGTATTAAAGGAAAATATAACGTGTTTTGTAAATATTAAGGTGGTTCCGTATCAAACTTAATGATTTCCAAAGCACACGAATTTCTACACAATTTCTTATAGCCTTTTATAATCGATGGCGAAAAAGCAACAGCCAGGCGATAAAGTGTAAAGCTCGGCTGTAGGAACTATAGCCCGGCTGCATAATTTTTGATCGCTTCGTATAGCCCGGCCGTATGATTTTCTCTGCATTCTACAGCCAGCTTTATGATTTTCTGTAGCCATCTTTAGCCGGCTATAAGAATTCCTGTGGTATTTTGAAACGCAGCTCTTATCGCCAATTTTTACCAGGGTACATCGCAATTACATGGTAAAGTTAATGCTACTGCATCAGAGTGTTGTGTAAGTTGCCTATTTACTCATTAAACGGGCACCCTTCGTTGAAATTTATTGCAATTAAATTTAAAAAAAGTTGCAATCTTCCTTTGCATTGTAAATTGCCTATCTTTCTAAAACATTACGATCATCTTCCTGATCGCTGAAATTCGGCGTTTTTTGACCAAATCATTTAAAAATATGGCAATTTCATGGTAAATAAATTGCAATTTTATTGCGGTAAATTGCAATTTCATTTCAATATTTTCGTTGCACTGTGCTAGTTGGGCAGCAGTGAAATTGTGCATGAATGGGAGTTTTGGAAAATGCTTTTACCTGTTGGTATCACTGTGAAGTCTGGCAGATAACTGCTCCATGAAAAGCATCCTGATGTTCTGCGAAGAGAACTGCCACAGAAATTTTTGTGTGGGGCAGTGAAAAACAATTTTGACGTTTCCTCTTACCATGCGAAAAACTGAAATAAAATTGTTGCAAGGCCCCACGGCGTATAAAACTAGAGTTTCACTTCTCTATTATTTATTTTTGGCTTCTGCTAAACTCAGACTGCTGTAGAACACCATCAAAAGCATAAAAAAAAGTCAATGATAGTTATCATTACTTGATTAAACGTTACTACATAATACAGTTTGCAGGGAAATAAAACTTTAAGTGTCTTGGCACAAGGCAATGGAAAAATTTGATATCCTCCCCCGCATGATGGGGGAAAATCCAAGAATTTTGAATCATTGCCTCATACTGTAATTTTTTTCGCATCGCCCAGCAAAACATGGCAGTGAAACTCGTTGGTTTTTCATGGAGCAATAACCTGTGGGGGCAGACGTATGAACTAAACCGCTTCCGATCTGTAGTTGATGACACCCAGGAATTTTCCTTCAAAATTTTAAGATCTGATTTTTCGCAGATAGATGAGAGTCTCTCTATTTAAACTTTTGCCTCCTTGAACTTAGATCCTTTTTCTGTGAATGGCCACAATTTCTTTGTCCGTCACAGGTTCACATGTTACATTGAAAATTTCAGAGTTTATATTTTGCGTCATTAAAAAAATTATCTTAAAAGTTCAAAGAAAACTTTACAACAGACCATTCTTGAGGAGACAAAGAATAGTCTTGCATAACTTAGCAACATTGCTGCCAATTACCCTGGTAGAAATGACGTGAAAAACACTTTGAAATCTCAAAAAACTGTTAAGATTGTTCTCAGAAAACTTTATTCAATTTTTTTTTTTGGGGGGGGGGGGGATAAAATTTTCGTTTGATAACACTTATGAAAAAACCTATCAATTAGGTACTATTTTTTAAGAGATTTTTTAAACATTTAATTCAAACATTTTAAGTGATGAAAAACTACAGTGAGTCTTTTAAGGGTTTTTCAAAACTTTTTTCCTTTCAAATTTTACATATGGTGAATACTTAAAAGAGTACCCCAAAATAGGGTTTCCTGAAACATCAAATTTAGCAGTTGTCTCTTTAAAATTGACAAGTTTCTTGATAAAATGTTAAAATCAGTTGTTTCTACCAGAGTGTAAGCAAGCACCTTTGGCCGCTATGACACCTTCAAGTATGGCTTGAAAATATGTGAGTTTCTCATAATTTCAATGCCTACAAGTTTAATTAAGGTAGGCAAGCTTCGACCTTCAAAATGTCCGACACAAGTAAACTTGATTTACTGGAAATTTTCTTTAAACGACGAAGTTGAATATTTTCAAAATATACATCAGCTGAACAGCTAAATTTACTGAAGGGATAAGTTAATAACAAATAACGAAGGAGCATATGAAATAAAAAGTTCACCTTTGTTGATTCTCAAAAGATAAAGTACAATAACAATTAGGTACAATTTACAACTACACACAATTAACAACAAGAAACTTAGATACATTAGAATGGGAAAACAATGAGCTTTGGGAATGGTGTTCTGAAATTCAGGCTTGACTTGAATACAAATACCTCCATCTATTGGTTATTAATAAGCACTGTTAATTCACAGAACTTTCTTTCAATGGTTGCGTGATACATCTGATGATTGTTCAGGCAAAGTAAATGCAAGGAGTGTGTTTAAATAGCTGTCTTGAGGGAGGAGAAAATACTTGATCTGGAGCCGCAGGAAGTATATTGAGAAAAATTAATGGCAAAGCATGAATCATCGACTATGTATTCATATTTTTCCATTTGAATCTAAGGTAAAGAGTCAATTATGAAGGTGCTTGTTGTAAGCACCCTGATATTCGATTATTTCCCATAGGTTTGAATGACAGATCAATAGATGGATTGCAAAGCACCACACGCTATTGGGAAACTTAAAGTGGTAGGCTTACAGAAACCGACAAAATTACATACTTGAGCATACATATTCATGGCATGCTGTGCGAGAAAAATGTACTGAAAATTGACTTGTTGTTTCATTAGATAGAATGAGCTAATTCTGACTAACATGTCGATAACCAGTCTCTAGATAAATGGAAGTCATGAGTGGTTGTCCGAATAAAATTTTGAAAATAGTTTACTTTTCTAAAAACAAAGTAGGACAGTCTCCAGTTCTGAGTCTTTGATATGATAACAATCGGAGCACAAAAAACTTAGAGCGTGGATTCTTTTAATGGCTATTTAAACAGATATTGCATAATTGCGATTTTTTGTCCTAAAATTTTTTTAATAAATGAGGAGAAAAAAAAAACAATATTTGTAATAAAAGAACTGAGAAATGGTAATTAATCAGTTTTCTCGATGCTTTGTGAGGTATGCAGAAAAAATAACAAAAGAAAATGTGTAAATAATAAATTGAATGAACATGAAAGACATTAACAGAAGAAAAACAAACAAAAACAGGCAGTGTATGGTAAAAAATAAACGAGAGGAGAACCAACAATACCAGTAAAAAATTATTTCACACAAGTTTTTTGGAGTTTTTGATTGAGCACAACGATGCGCTTTTCATAAAAAATATCCCTTTTGTTCCTCTATTCATTATAAATGCAGCTGCAAAAATAAGATTATTCATACACCTTAAAATAACTTATACTATTCTTCACTTTGGAAAAATAGTTATACAGTTTAAATTACAAATAATTTTGAGATCTCGCAAGATAAAAAGAGAAAAGTAACATTTTCGTAAAAACCTAAGACTAGGGATTCTGAAGTCATGGGAAAGAACAAATCTGATTAAAAACTCGTGCCTTACACAGGCGTAACTAAAATTGAGTCGATATCACCGATAGACTTGACTCTACGATGTCTCTGTGGGCGAGTTTTCCTCTTGACCGTTGCTACAGCAACTACAGATTGTGGTGACTCAGGCCGCTGCGACGAGAAATAGGATGCTGCAGCGCTGCTTCCTGATGATGAAGATGGGGAGACCACCTGAGGAGTATTCATGAAACTATCTCTTCTTTCCTCTCTCAAAGTGTTTTCTTTATTCTTGATTCCGAATACGCGACTTAATGATCCCTGAAACAAAACGAAAGAAGGCATTCAGCACATAGTAAACATTATGTACCTGAGGAAGTATTCAAATGTAATTTTTCACCCACAGCAAGAAAATACTTTGCTGACAGTAACGTAAGTTAACAGGTTATTCACCAGTATACAAACTTTTTCTAAATTTAATTGTAAAATTCTGTGATAATGTATAGCTCATTTTGGTAATACACATAAGTTTGTGAAGAGTAAAGTAAGACGCGAACACAGTTTTGCACGTTTTGAATGTCATAGAAAAATACAGCAGCTAGTGCCGAAAAAATTTGAAATATTTATAACACAACACAAAATAAAAAACAAAAACCGGATCCCAAGAAATTATGTTGGCTCATTCCGTTCTCAGAAATCAGATTGGATGGATTCTGTAACTTTCTGCCCTCTTCTCCTAACTCAGAAACAAAATACTTTTGCCCACATTTTGAATTTTCCACAGGAGAAAACATACAACTATATTTTCAAATATGGGTTGACTCTTTACTGATAAGTCCAGTCTATTTTTGGACTATTCAATTGCAACACTAGTGCAGTAAAAAAACACTCACAGTAACTGACACTTACTTGTGAACTTTTCCAAGAGGAAAACTGAGCGGCAAAAGTGGGAAAAGAAAAAAAATTAGGTTAGAGGACAAAATAGTGAGGATACACAAAAGACAAAAAAAATTCAAAATAGTTAGCTGGTATTTTTAGGGGTGCGAGTACTATCTGAGCAAACAGAATTTTCGTTTGCTCTTTTACTCGTCCTTTTCATTCAGCTGGCCTTGCAACTGTCAAAAAAAACCGAAGCAGTTAAAAAACTCAAAATATTCAATAAGTTTTGATAAATGCCGATAGCAAACCCTTTAAATTTTTAGTTAATAAGACACACATGTCACACATGTCATGTTCACAGTCTTACTGAAATTTTAAATTTTCTTGTGGACGGAGATAGATCTGTCTGAATATTGAACTTTAAAACAATGGGTACCTACGACTAGTTGTCTATAATATGAATACCGAGCTCACTCACTTATTATACATTTTATGCATTTAAGGACAATTATCTTGGAGCTGTACCCTCTAGTCCAGTCGTAATAAAGTGGAAGATGGAGAGTGCAGTTCCAAAACAATTGAGGGGCTTGGAGGACAAGGCGCAAGAATGCAGTTTTTGCTATTTTGAGATATATCAGTTAAAAGTTTCGAAATTACATGGAGCCTTATGGCAGAAGGAGGGCCGTGACTCACTTTTTGATGCTTAAAAATTAGAATTTGGGAGTGAATTTTGCACAGAATACATTTTCAGACTAAGTACCTCAATTTTTTTAAAAAATTGCACTTAAGTAAGCGCCTTATCTTCCAAGCCTCTCGATTGCCCTTATATGTATCAAAAGTGAGTGAGCTCAGAGTTCATGTAAGTGACAACTGGGTGTACCCATTGTTAAAATTGTCTTCCTACCTCGTTTTAGCACTCTAGAGTGGATCAGCTGCATTTATCACAGGACTGTATTTTAATGATTTAAGCTTATAGACTAGTGAAAAGTATTGACATCTGTCTAAACGTATAGATTCTACAATTAATATTGACATAAATAGCGCCCTTCAAAAAACACGGTGTATAATGTCATCCCCTGCAAAGATGCAAACAACGGTTTTTTCCACCTTGGTTTCATTCATGCTTTGAGTCGACAGGTGCAAATGTAAAAGAAACCATGGTGTGTGCTACCACAGTGGATTACATCATACACAACGTTTTTCGAATGGCTATCCATTAATGCATCTCTGAAGAGATAAGGACACCTGTTGGCGTTTTACTCAATTCAAGGTTCAATAAAAATTACATCAAACAAAGGAGAAGAAAATAAAAAAAGAGTAGTAAAATAGATGTACTTATTGGTTATTATTAGTTATGTGGTACCTACTTGAATACAAACCTTTTTTAAGTATGATAAACTGTAGGTCTAAATCCGGGAATGAAAGCATGATGGAAAAAATCGGGGTGTTAATATTAAAGCAGAAGATAAAGCACAAAAAATGTATTGCACTACCAGAACTTATATCCAACCGATGATTAGATTTTATGCCCTAGCTCACAACATGTAACGTGATTGACATAAGTAGCATTGATTACCGTAATGGCTGAACAAACAGGGCTTGTGGCCTAGTTTAAAAAGCCATGAAATAGGAGGAGACAATGTTCATCTTCCGTAAGAAAATAAAATAGAAGTGGCGCTTTGAAACATTACAATCGACATGCAAGTTTTTCCAAGCGGCACTTTAATAAGAAACATATTTTATATCATTACTTTTAAAGATTAATTTTAAATAAAAATTTATATGATAAATTTATATTATAGAAAAAAAAGAGGCCTCAAGTTGAAACTTGGATGATGACTTAATGTATGGCTGAAACATCTTGATAAAAAATTCAATCAGACTAATGACTAATGAGTAAAAATTTTTTTAGGAAATTTTTAAAAGTATTGATCAAACCCTAGTACCGAATTTCCTTAATTTAGAAACTATAATGTTGAATGCTATTGCACAGATTGTCAACTGTTTGTTTTGGCAAAAGTATGAGCAAAAATTGAGCATCTGAGTTTGCGACTTTGTAAATTGTTATGTATTTCATCGAAAAAAGGGTGAACTGATAATTTTCCTCCCAAAAAATGTTGGTAACTTTCCTCTGTTCCAGCTAATAAGAATCTTTAAAAATCTCGAGACAAAACTAAGTTACAGTAACAAGAAAAATACATATGATTAACGACTCACTTGTACTTTCAATTAAGAAATTTTTTCCAATATGGTTTCGGGCACACAGCCCATCTTCAGCGTTAAACACGGGACACATTAATGGAATGTGCAAGTGAGTCTGTAATCATACATATTTCCTCCTAGATTTAATTCATTTTATGCAGTCCGTGCAGAGGGAACGTTTTTTACGTTTTTATCATAATTAGGTTGCTGTCTTTTCAGTGAAAACAAAGATGAAATTTTGAAAAGCTACTTTTGCAAAATTAAGATTTTAAGAATTGCAATAGGCCTAGAATTGTTTACCAGGGTAAAATGAAGAGCTATTTATTGTGTAAAATCATCCTAAAATCACAATAAACGCATGAGCAAGGTATGTAATTTCCTCACTTCACGATTATCAGGAGATTTTTTAACATGTTTGAGTTTCTCGTATCAAAAAATGTGTTTTCACTCTGGCAAAACTTTGCAACAAGCCTATTAGAAGAATCAAGCAGCAATGATTTAGAAATAATGAAATGCTTGGCGAAAGCGTGGAGACTCACCCGCAAGCTAGACCTTCTGCGGTCACTAGAGGACGAGGAAACGGACTGTGCATCTGGTGCAATAGTCTTATTTGATCCTTGAAGTATTCTTGAATTCGTGAGGCCGCCAGCGTATGACCTTGAAAAACTGCGGCCTAGACTTCCACCGTTGGCGATTCTTTCAGCACGCCTCTTTTCCACAGTACTTACTCGCACGAAGTGTTGGAAAGCGGCTCTATTTTCAGGTCGAACAATTAACATTAAGGGTGCACATAGCAGGAGGAGATGCAATCAAGCAGCAACACAGAACAGCCCAGGGCATCAAATAAAAACATAAAAGCAAAACAGAGAGCATAAAATTAAACAAAATAAAAGATGATCAATAATTGAAATGCACTATAGACTCGCTAATCCACACAGGCTGAGTTTATCTGACAAGTTCATTCTTTTACTCTATTCAAACTCGAATAACAACGATAAAATAAGTGAAACTCTGCACTATCAATGGCCAAAAAGCAGGAAAACATATTTCCATTACAGTCCGCTCCTTTTTTTTTTATTTATTTATTTACCTATTTCTTCATTTTTTTTTTTTTGTGGCTAAGCCAACTTTATGGCTTAAAATTCACACAAAATATTCTGCTAACAGAAAAGTTTTAAAAAAATCACATTGACTAGTTTTCCAAAGAAAAAATAAAGTACGAGAGGAAGTCTGCAACATCACAAACGATGATAAAAGGTTTTTCATTTTGACCATCTCTATGGTATGAACATGTTGATGTTACTACTTCATTTTATTTTTGTTAAAAGCAAAAATCTAATTCTTTGGCAGCTCAATAAATATATGCTCAAAAAAGATTAGCATAACTACAGCAAAGTATGGATTAACGGTTGAAAATGAGATGGAAACAATGAGTGTGAATGAGTTTCTGTGAGTGCATGATGAGAGACGTCGAATATGATCAGATGAGAAAAGCATGGAGCCTAGAAACACATGTGTGTCATGAAAATGATAGGCTACTTATTTGATTATTTATTTCTTGCATACATGAAGGGCAGATGATGGAGACCAAAACAGGAAATGAACGAAGATGCACATTCAATGATGAGAACTAGGGCTAACGCTATAATATGGAACAAGAAGAGGGCAGCAATAACAAAAAAGGAGAACTTAGTCGAGCTTTCTCAAAAAATGGTCATGAGTGAATTTTTCAAGGAGACCTTGACCAATCCGCATTTCAGAGCTTAAAAAATGTCAAGGTTGATAGGATTCACTACCAGAGTTGCAAAAATTCATGCATGGGTGTTCCTCCGGTTATTTTTTTTTACTCAACATACAACAATACAGAAATACATAGAGAAAAATAATCATTAACCATATGCTTAAAAATTCCTCCATTGTTGTTCACTCCAACAAAACTACGATTGAATTTAAAGAAAAAGAGAACTATTTCAATAAACACAATGCTGTTCTGTATGCATTTTTCAGTCTAGATATGTTTCAAGATCCGTCTAAACAAAACAGACCGTGTCTAACAGAAACGCAACAAGTGGCACAAAGTTTAGGTAGAGAAAGAAGTTAAAAGTTTGTTCCTCCACTAGATTCAATGTTAAGTATGAAGTTTAACGACTGTTTTCAAACTCAAAATATTTTATTCAACTTTGAATTATAAACAGGAGAAAATGTATACCTAGCTGGATTCAAAAATACCCCCAACTCATGGTTTCCCAAAGACGGCTTTGAGTGTTCCTGTTAAACTTGGTCGAAATAACACCATTGACACTGGACAAGTAATTACTTGACAATAAGTTTAACTCGGTTTTCTAAGTAAAGAGGTGCAATCTTTGAGAAGACTTTCAACTTCATGAAACCTTTTGCACATCCTGAACTTATTGAAAAGTCACTAGGGAACAAAATCTTTGGAATATCTCTTGAACAGTCTAATTATCAATACTATACACTAACAGCAAAAATTACTTCTCGCCCTTTAAAAGCATTGTATCTCAGTGATGAGTCCTTTCTTTTCTGTTAGACATGTCCAAAATTTGTACCTGCTGAATGCATGTCCTTGAAAGGATACCTAAAAATTAATTGTTTTTGTAGTCCGGTACTTCATATTAAAATCCTCACTAAAGAATTTTTGCTGTGCTTTTTTATTATTTTCAAATGAAAAAAAAAAAACAGATTTGCAGTCTTGTTTAAATTTTTAAATTAAAAAAAGATACTGAGGAGCCATCACACGATTGATATTTGCGTTAATTGTGGCGCTGGCAAAACAAATTAGGATTACACAGCATCAGGAGATCACTTGTTGCCTCAGCATTTTTCGTTTTTGACCAATTGCATTATCAATGAGAAACATTACTTTTAATCGTTTTTATACAACAAAGTATCTATAGCCCAAGTTTCTTCAATCTACTTCGACTTTTATGATGGTTTTCATTTTTCCAGACTTTATAGTGAATAATAGACTACATCAACCAATGACATTTAAACTGCTATAAACTATGAAAAATTTTCCACCACAGAACAACTAAAATACGTGGTAATCGTACACTACAGGGTGTCCAGCAAAATTTTCATTCCCCTGACCCTTGAATTCACCCTGACTTTACAGGTTTTCCGTGACTTTTAGATTTTCCGTCTCCCAGACTTTCCCTGCTTCTCTTGGACTTTTTTTCTCCAAACACGAGAAACACAATAGTATCAGTGTAAAAGCAGTGAAATTATACAAAAAATGTAAATGTTGCATAAGAGCTCACAACACTCCCCGTTATGTTTTCACTCTCCCAGACCAATTGCATCTTTTTGACTTTCCAGTCATTAGACATCCTGTAAGTTCATCATTGTAGAAGTTTCTTGGAATTGCTAGCATAAATTGATACCTCATAATACAGACGATTCTGTTCAACAATGAGAAAACTGCTTAGGGTCAGCGTTTGATAATGTTCTGTATTTAAAGTTTGTTAACATTACAGTAACCAACATGACCAAAGAATTAATGATAGCAGATACTATAAACCTATAAAATAAGTATCACACAAAATTATATGCATCTTCATTGATTTAATTACTGAAAATCTTAACAAAATTATTTCACATATGTGTACAGAAATTAACGAATGAGAGAGAGAAAATAAACAGACAGAAACAGCGATGCCTACTGTGAGCTAGGCTTCTAGACAGGATGTGAATTGAAGCACTGCATAGCATGTCTACTCTATAAAATTTCACAAGAAAAACAAATCACACAATGGAAGGTCTGGAAACTCATAAACAAGATATTTCAGGTGTGTTGAAAATACTGATTACACTCTCGTTTGGAAGTTGATTTCCGAACCTCCCATTGTACGAGTCGTTTCCTACATGAGATCTTGAAGAGGAAGTGACCCATTTTGCTAGTTAAGACCTAGTCTAGTGGCCCATTCACTCTACCTCTTAAACATAGTGAAAATTTGTAGACAGTCTCCGAGATCAAAAATAAAAGGAAATTTGAATAAGTAACAATCTGAGATATAACTGAAATTGCCTAACACATTTATTGGTAAATCACAGCTCAAAGGTATTGAAAATATCAACAGCTCAACGAAATCAACAAAAAAATTGGGATATGTGATAATAATATGAGTTCCTCTCTGCATAGATTGGTGGAATTCCTGACGGTAACTTTTCAACAGCACTATCCAGGTAAGAAATTATCAAAAAAAGACAACTTCCTACTAATGTTTCCTATACTTACACCCTTAAATTTTACAGGAAATATTTTGACCAATTTGATAAATTTTTTTCAAAAATCCAGAGAATTTCTTGTGAATTAATGACACTCCCTACTTTTCAAAAATGCAAAAATTAGAAATTACTGAACAAGCTCATTACATACTTGAAACTGTCATATGTTTGGTTCGTTCGATAAATACTTCTAGATGCCAAAATGCTAGTAAGCCTGTACTTAAAACTGATGCCAACATTTTAATTTTACCTTTCTTAGCACTACAGTCCCTTATCCCTTGTTTGTCGAGGTCATACATTCTGTGTAAACCCTTAACATCTCCAGCAGAGTTGAGATATTCAAGTAAAAGGAATTTGCTGTCTCATAACCAAAGACTTAAAGAAGCAAACTGAATGGGTCCGTAAAAAAATAGTACCAAGCAAACGTTCGATGGGAACAGGTTAAAATAATAAGGAAGAGCTCAGCTAGGTGAACAGTGATGCAAACATAGGAGTTGTCTGTCTACACTTAAGAGGAAAAAATAGAGAGGGAAATTAATGTTGTAAATACATAGCCTGCATCTCCAATAATGATCTGCATGGACACAGAAAAAGGAATTCTGTAAACAACGAGAAACTTGAAAGAACACAACCATGTCTCTCAATGAGAAGATCAGTGAGGGTCTTGCACTCAAGAGGAACGTGCCGAAGGGAAGGAAAACAGAAACGCAGAAATATAGAGTCAAATTTGTACACACGTGACTTTAAATTTTGAATGGCCTCCGTCATTCTTCAATCATGATTGCAGAATTTCAATCTACAATAGAAAGAATCATGAGACAAACTATTGAAACATTGAGAAATTTTCATAGAAGATTTTCCCAAAAATTGAGAAGAGAAAACTTGGTATCGTTGATTTTCATGACTTGCAATTGCATCAAAGTTAGATATTAGCTTAGGAGGAGCAACCGCAATAAAGGTGCAATTGAATTACCATCCTTGGAATTAATGTAAAGTGCCTCTTTAACAATTGAAGAACTAAATTATCACTAGAAACAGAAGAGAGTTTGAAAAACTGCTGTATGTAACAGGTCGCTAGGCAAGGATTGAATTTTTTCTGCCTGATACAGTCCAATTAAAGCTCTGCGCAACATTTTTCTCATCAAAATTGTATGATGGAAATTAAACAAACCACAAACCCTTGTCAACACAAAGTCTGGAAATCAACTCCTGAGCAAGATATGATTTTTTACGATCAACATTGGTTAAATGGCAAGAAACGAAATGACGGCATCTGTATAGTCTAACTTGAATTTGAGCTGTGTAGGAGACTTGTTAATGTCTCACTCAGGAGTTAATTTCCGAACTTCCTGCTGTGCGAGTTGTTTTCTAAATAAGAGTTTGAAGAGAAAACATGCAGGAAGTTTGACTAATTTCAACCTCGTGTAGTGGCCCATTATTGAATGATATATCTCCATAAATATTCCATCAAATGATCAACTATGATTTCTTATCAAATTTAACAGTTTTTCCTTTGTTGCGGTGGTGGAATTGGCGCACAATTTGGAACCAGCTACAAGGAAAATATACTGCAATGCTGGATGGAAAAAGGCAGGATATTACAAAAGTGACTTTTTCTATTAACTTGGGTCTAAAAATCTACAATGAAGCTAGATTTAAGTCACTCATAGGCCCTAATTTGAAACAACCAAAAAATTTCCCGAAAATTTTTTCTCCTCATCTGCACACCAAAACAAATAAAAAAAAAACACTCACTTAAAGCTATTCCAAATACTTTTCAGATTCTTCTATGTATACGTCAGAGTTCCTTGTGTGGTATCTCTTTGCCGTGCTGCCAAAAAGAGTAGGGCTGAATTTCAAAATCAAATTTTCTTCAATATTTGATTAATTTAAATCTGAGGAATTGGTAGATGCTGCTGATGTAGCAAAACTCACCATTTTTTCAATCGAGCTCAATCATCTGAACAAATGCGAGCATTTGCCTGTTAATTACAGGTAATTTTTTTAAAAACGGTGGATTTATTAAATATAATTTTCCACTTTAACCGTAAAAAGTGTCTTTCCTGAAACTCAATTTTTTATTTACTGCTCTCTTTGAAAACACGGCGTTACAGAGATAAAATTGCATATGAGGAGGAGTTTATTGATGAGAGAGCTCATACCTGGCTGGAAGTACAAGAGATTCAAGTTCCGCAGTTAGATGTCTTCGGATCATGTTCCTTGATGGAGGTATCCCAAGAGCTGTCGCCATTGTATCACCGTTGAAGGATGATTCTAAAACGACTAAAGCACCATGAACGCCACTACCTATTTTTTTTTTTTTTTAAAAAATAAAAGAGAAATTTATTAATTTTTCTTCAATGGATTCTAATGTCAAACTAAAGTCACACTCATATGTATGTATGAGTGCAGATGCTGCAACAAATTGGGGAAAACGTTAGTACACATAAATATTGACGTATTAACTGACGCTCAGGTGAGACACTATAATTTTTATGATTACATTATTACACAGGTGGCCACATGCATTTGTCACATGCACCTAAATTTCATCAGGTTGGTAATGTTTGCTTCTGTTTTATTCTGCATCATGGAGTTTTGTAGCTATTGTTCCTGGTCTATAATGCCATTCCTGAAGATTTTATCATCAGGTGAGCTTTCACACTTTACAAGATCCTTGATAGACTTGAGCAAAAATTCTAAAAAATAAAAACTTTAAATGAGGTATTCAGAAACGAACCTTTAAGATTGTCAGCGTATTCTCCCAAGTCGATAGACCTGGCCCATCGGATAAATCTTTGATTGGTCCATACTAAAGGATCAGCGTCAATGTTTTCGCATTGGTGTCTTCTGATTGCTAAAGCCTGAAAAAATAAAACAAGCCGCTCTGGAATTGGAAACTAGGAAGCATGGAAATAATTTTTTGAGAAACACTAGGCAGACCCTTCTTTGTTATTGGATAAATCTGCAGGCGGCCTCAATACAAGCAGTGAAGTCACAATTTTTTCTCCTAGGAAAATAGTCTTATCTTAAAAATACTGTTCGGAAATCAGCTATAATTTTTAAAATATTCACCATTCTAGTTTAAAATTTGCCTAAAAGTTTATTCATTTTGAATCTTAAAACCATTTAAATTTTACGCTTAATGAGAGGCATCTTTTGTCTCTTAGTAGACGAAAATTGTAAGACCAGTTGCCCTTTTCTGGACGTGAATGTAATAGTTCAGAATTACTCAAAATTGCATACTATGCACAAGACTCTCCGTTTCTCAGCAGTGATGTTATCCAGTTAGGCGATGCCAAAAAGGCGTTAGATACGCTTACGTAGCAGAAAAAAATTAATGCGACTTATTTTTGTTAACCCTACCACGTTTGTACTTGAAGGATAGCATTAAATATGTGAAAGAATATATTAATGACTCAAAGCATTTCTCAAGTATTAAAAAAAAAACAACATTTCTCATAAAAATGACACATTATTTGAAAACAGGAAAAAGGAGATAGTTGACTGGGCCCTAGGTATAACATGAGGGAAGCTGTATGACAAGTTATCAGCCAAAATTAAGCAGTCTGAGATTAAGAGTGTATTTTTTAAAGCAATCCATCCACAGACTTACAACAGATGGCTATTTTTACAGCATTGAGGAGTACCTAGAATCCTAAGTTGTCAACGATTTGTTAAAATTTTTATTAAACAAGTAGCAAAAGCTACCTGCTGAGGGGGCGCCGCCCCCCCAGACCCCCCCTTTCAAATTATATATGTGAGACTTTGAGTATCATAGAAGTCGTGCGGCAACATGCCGAATGAAATGCCACAGTTAAAATTATTGGATCAGATGATGAGCTGATAAAAGCCTTACCTAGTAATTTGGGAACATTTCTGACACAGTTTGGTTGCTTTAACTATCACTTTGATTTGCGAAATACAAATCGTTTTCACTTCGTATGTAGTTAAATTTGATTTTGACTGACTTAGTTTCTGATGGATTCAAACTCATAATATACATTTAGGTTCCAGGCAAAGAAAAATGCAGATGAGCTACACTTCACATGAATATAGATTGATTAAAAATAAATAATCCGAAGAAGTGATGGAATAAATGATAATTGTTTACTAAAGTAAATACTATACCTAGGATTCATAGGAATTTTAAATAAAATCCCTTCCATCACTAAAATAACCCATACAGGGTGTACCAAAAGTCCGTCCCACCCCTGCTAACTTTTGAACGAAT